CACTCCGCAATAGGAATCTACCTCCAATGACTGGTGATAAGGAATAGCTAAGAGAGGGTTCGCCTCAGGTCTCTATTTTAGGTATGCTTCAATTCAGCTCCAAATTTTCCAGTGAACTCTGTATTTTGACATTGAAAAACAATGTTTTGGCACTACACTATACTTAGAGACTTTCACAATAAGCTCCTCTTATCAGTTCATCATGTGATGTTTTCCTTTAACCAGATCACACATTTTATCCTGGGATTAGCACTTTTGGACTATAGTAACAGATATGAACTGTTGGTAGAAATGGTCGCTACTAATCATTGTTAGATATTAACATAAAATATAAAATACATGGAAGAGGGGAGTAGGTAACACATTGGGGTACCCAGTATGTAACCTACCCAAAGGGTTAAAAGGAACCCCCTAACTGAAATTATTTAAAAGCTGAAAGACCTAAACTCCATGTTCAAACTGGTAATATATTCACAACCATACTTTAAGGGATGGTTTTGGTTTTGTGGTATTGATAGTTTTATTACTACTTTTAAAAATTCAAAGACGCCGGGCGCGATGGCTCACGCCTGTAATCCCAGCACTTTGGGAGGCCGAGGCGGGTGGATCACGAGGTCAAGAGATCGAGACCATCCCGGTCAACATGGTGAAACCCCGTCTCTAAAACCTACAAAAAAATAGCTGGGCATGGTGGCGCATGCCTGTAATCCTAGCTACTCAGGAGGCTGAGGCAGGAGAATTGCCTGAACCCAGGAGGCGGAGGTTGCGGTGAGCCGAGATCGCGCCATTGCACTCCAGCCTGGGTAACAAAGAGCGAAACTCTGTCTCAAAAAAAAAAAAAAAAAATTCAAAGACATAATGGTATTAAATGAAAAGTTACAGCTTTACCCCTTGCTAGACTAACTAGAGATAATCACTTGGCATTATTTACATTCTCAGTTCTTCAGGTAGTTATTTCATCATTAGTTTATTTCTCTATGTTTAGAAGAGTGTGATTTTCACACACTCCTTCAGCCAGTTTAAACACCAGTTTTCAATAAGCATATGAAAACCGTGAGTCTTATTTTATAAATGTTGACACTTACAGGTCAATTCATGTCTGAGTATTTGTTTAATCTTTGGAAATTAAAATTGGAATTTCTACAACATGTTATGTTAAACACGTGTCACCATTTTGAACATAACATATTGCATAAAACTGTTTATAAAGACCTGTATGCATTGCTAAGCATGTATTTGCTTAAAATCAAAGACCTAAGAGTTTTAAGAACTACAAAACATCTGAGAATATGAATGAAATGCTGCTAGGAAAGAGAGAAAAATAAAGGATTATTAGAACTGAGAAGAATGAAAAAAATATCAGATGCAAATAACCTACAAGCCATAGTCAATACATTTGCACATGATGAAAACAGTGTAACATAATTTACAACACAGTATGACATATATTTATATTAGATGTCAATTAACTTAGTTCTAAGGCCATACAGTCTTTTCCTTCCTCTTTACTTAAATTCACTTTTCACTTGTAAAAGAAGGCAATCTTGCAATCAATTTAATGACCATCAACACATCACAACAACAGACTTTTTAAAAAGTCTGCTTATATCTTCCTAAACCTATATTTCCAAATGAGTGGTATAAGTTATTCTCCCAAGAAGTCAATCATTGGGCTCATGAAGATTTGTACTTGAGAAGAATGAGCCTGTTAATAAATGTATAGATAAAAGGTTTAGGTAAAGATTAGGATGTGCTAAAGTGGCTGATGTTAAGCCAGCTATATCTAATTCGCAGTACTACTAATATAGCTCTATTTCTTGATTTAACAACCTAAAACAATGACCCACTGTGAAAGATAAGTGATTCATCTCACTTTCTGCTTTCTCCCTAACCATTCTCCCAGGTTTTATTGGTTATTGTATACTTTTTATTAATTACCTTTCATGAGTTCAAATAATAAGCTTAAATTCTTTTTATTTTTTCATTTATTTTACAAAGTATCTCAACTTCCACTCTATAAAGTGAATGCTATACTATCCTTCACTTCTTCTCACCTGTAACTCTCAGGTTTTGTTAACTATACCATGACTTTTAAATTACCAGTATTGATAACATTTACAGTATATCCTATCTTTGTTTTATGAAGTCTTGGGCATTTTTAAAACAAGTGTAAAATCTTGTGGTTGTTTTGTTTGTGTATTTCAGAGACAATATCTCCCACTGTTGCCTAGGATAGGGTGCAATCATAGCTCATTATAGCCTCAAATTCCTGGTCTCAAGTGGTCTTTCTGAGTAGTTGGGACTACAGGTGCATGCCACCATGCACAGCATATTTTTTTAATTTTAAAATTGTTTTTGATCATGAACTCCTGGTCTCAAGCAATCCTCCCACCTTAGCCTTCCATGTAGTTGGGATTACAGTAGGCATAATCCACCATACCTGGCAAAGTCTTGTTTTTATAAAGGCTTTTAAAATAAGCCTTGTTTTTAAATAAAGTCCTGGTTTTTAAATAAAGTTTTGTTTTATAAAGTCTTGTCCTTATTAAATCTAAGCTTTGTTTACTGGTCTATTCTAAAAATTGGAAATGAACAGCATATAGAACATTATTATTATGTTGATATTACTCATTGCAAAATTAGGTATTATGATTAAACCTCAGGAGAAAGAAATGTAAGGAAAACTTTGCCACTCAAAGGAAATGATTTAAGAATCAGAGTATCCACGCACAGTGGCTCACGCCTGCACTTTGGGAGGCTAAGGTGGGTAGATCACTTCAGGCCAGGAGTTTGAGACAAGCCTGACCAACATGGTGAAACCCCATCTCTACTAAAAATACAAAAAATTAGCCAGGCGACTGGTGCATACCTGTAATCCCAGCTACTTGGGAGACTGAGAGAGGAGAATCTCTTGAACTGAGAATGTGGAGGCTGCAGTGAGCCGAGATCATGCCAGTGCACTCCACCCTAAGCCAGAGTGAGACCCTGTCTTCAAAAAACAAAAATCAAAGTAAACTTAATTTTCTTTTCTTTTACTCTAATAATTCCGCAGCATCATGCCATATAAAACAGTTTACTTTGTTTCATATGTGGAACATGACATTCTTGTACAAGTTTTTGTGTTCTTCCTGAAGTTTCTTGTTGCCTTTTTTCCACATTCCACATGAAATATAGAAACCTTTCTCATTTCATTAAGGTAGTCCAGCTTCTCCTCTTATGTCCCCCACCCCCAGTTCAGCTCCTGTTTATCTGCTATCTCTTACTTGATTTCTCAATAGAAAGGTATTTGACATCCTAGATTAATCTTTGTGATCTCTTACTTTTTTTTCTCATAGCTACTTTGTTTGCTCTACTTTTAAGTCCAGACTTTTATTGAATGGAGGGAAGGAGAGGCAATCATATTTTTAATTTCCTCTTGTTCTCTTTTTGCATAAAATCGTGTACTTGCTTTATAGATACCATTCCTTCATCAATCTTGGAGGACTTGAACTAGAATTTTAAAAAAAATTTCTTTTCTAAATTATCTGTTTTTGTTGGTCCATCACTTTCTTTTTTCATCTTAGTCCTATCTGATGCTGTTGATTTTCCCCAGATATCTGGCTATCTGCACATACTCATGACAGAAAGACTAAGCTGATGAATCCAAGTAGCTCCTGTGGATTTCCTCTGTTGTTAAGTGGGGTTTTTCTTGAAAGATACCACACTGACTGGAAGGATTTCTGTGTTAGCGGGTAAGTCATGTCATTGGGTAGGCTTCTTTAAGGGCAGAGAGCACAAAGGTAAATCAGGGTTCCACTCCCATTATCAGAACAGGACGGCATGTTCTGGGGAGTGAGGGGGGTGGTTACCTGGGGGGGCATACCTTCCCTAAGAGCATTATCTCCATCCTAATTGTTAACTTTCTTCAGCCATTCACTTGCAACTGTCACCATGTCAGTTTCACTGCAAATATGCTCTGCATTGGGGAGCAGCTGTTTTGTATAGATCCTTCTGCCCACTTCCCTCACTGGTTTTCCATATCTGCCAATCTAAGCTACTCCGGAAACGACAGTGTGCACCTGTGTTACAGCCCTTCGTACTGGGGCTTATGTATCAGTACTCACTCATCTGTTCATACTTTTTTATGCCAGAAATTTGTCTTTGATCTGGTGATGATTCCACCATAGGAATCCTCATTTGCCATAAACAAATAGGCCCCTTAGGCTATTTAGGATTTTCTGGCACTTCTCATTAGAAAAAGCTCATGCAAGTGTTGTGGGGTATGGAGGAGAGAAAGCCTTTGGACACAGACAGAAATCATTTTAGATTCTGTTCTGCTACTTACTGGCTGTGTTAGAACATGACATTTATTCTAAGACTGTTTCCTCATCTCTAAAGCACAGATGATATCTTTTTTACTGAGTTATGGTGAGGATTAAATGAATAAAGTGTTAACAAATAATAAATATTCAAATGTTAATTCCTTTCCACTGGAGTGTCTTTACTTAAATACCTTGGATTTAATAGGTAAGAATATATATACCTATTTGGTTAATATATAGTAATAAAATATATGCATCTATTTGGTTAATACATAGTACTAAATAAAATCTATCATTGGACAAACATTCTTTTAATTATCTTCACATTAAGCTCAAATATTACTTTAGATATGACTTAATATGTGACCATGTCCTACTTATCTGAGATCATTTATTTTAAGGTCTTCAAAACATAGTTCTTCAAAACACGGATTTCTTTTGAAGTGTTTTAGTTACCATAAAATATATCTATTCTCTTACATCTTTAATCTATTTAACTAGATTAACTTTTGTATTATCATTATTACAATTGTATGCATTAGTTTAGAACAACCACCAAGCTGATTTTGAACATACTTCAGAAATTTTGCAGTGCAGTTTTCTCCCAGTAAAATGCAATAAGGAAAATGTTCAAATAGAAAAATATATACTCACCTACATAGAGGCCAGGGTAAAGAGCACACACAAAAAAAATGCACTTACTTGTATTGTACTTTGATCTCCCATTTGTCCGTTCTTTAGATAAAATACTTGCCCCTTTTGGACTTGAAAACAAGTCTCCTTGTAAGGAAAAAAGTCATGTGTAGCCAGTTCAGATTTGTGCTAATTGTGTATGTGTTGTAACAAGGTTCTTCTAACTTTTCAACTCTATTCTTGAATTGCTGTTTTATAAAACAAAAATTTTCTGGTAGTAAATATTTTTCTGGAAGGTGGAGCAAGAGGAAGACGACATTATGAAAAGAAGGAGCAATGCTTAACTGAAATTATAGAGTTTGAAGGAGAAAAGCAAAACTCAGTGGTCTTTTGTCTCGGTTGAAAGGAATGGTGGATTAAATTTATTTTTAATCACAATAAATATTAAGCAAGTTGTATACCTATTTTCCTCTGTTCCATTAAAGTTGTAAATTTCTATTATCAACAGTCTTAATGCAAACATGACTTCTATTTTAACCTTCCTTAGAATGTGGGGGGAAAATACAGAACAGTCAGCAGACAGAGATATAATCTTGTTGAGGAAACCAAATGATTATATAAAAAGATTTGTTTTTAAAACTTCATTAAAAACAAATTATAAGAACAAACCCTAAACTGTTCACAGTGGTGGGTACTTCTGAGGATTCAGCAAGTGGGATGGGAGAAGCGAACTTTCATTCTTTAAAATTTGGTGCTTTTGTCTTTTTCAAAACAGGAGTAAACCATCTTCATCATTCCAGCAACTTGAAAAGCATTTTTTAAACGTCATTATCCTATAGCCCAATAATGCAAACACATGGAATAAAGGAACTATGTGGTAGAATTCACACATCAGTATGGCAAATAATAAATACACAGATTATCTGACCTAAAGGAATCTCCAATAAAGGATTCCTGATAGCTCAATATTCTTTACCACAAATGTCTGCCCAGTTCTTTCTTATTCTCCTACTTGGCAATCCTTGTACATGTATTCTGCTCTCTTCCTACACTTAGTAGCTTTAATTAAATTCTATTTCCTTGCTCACAAACAATCTCCCAAGAGAAAATCTTTTAAAATGGCATGTTATTTTGTTTGGCTAGCAAAGTGCTTTTGGCACTTTCAAATTAGTTTTTAGTATTTAAGAATTTGGAGATTCCAGGCCAGGGGCGGTAGCTCACACCAGCAAATCCTAGCACTTGGGGAAGCCAAGGCAGTCAGATCACCTGATATCAGGAGTTCGAGACCAACCAGGCCAACATGGTGAAACCCCATCTCTACTAAAACTACAAAAATTAGCCTCCAGCTACTCAGGAGGCTGAGGCACAAGAATTTCTTGAACCCAGGAGGCGGAGGTTGCAGTGAGCCCAGATGGTGCCACTGAACTCCATCCTGGGTGACAGAGTAAGAGACTCCATCTCAAAAAACAAAAAACAAACAAAAAAAAATTTGGAGATTCCAGAACCCCCAGCTCCTCTTTGAAGATCAAAAGATCTGACAACGCAGGACCCACATTTCAGCATGGCAATGGGGAGTGCTTATAGCTGACCCCTGAGCCTGGATACACCCTATTACAACCCCAATAGGACTGCCAGGGCCATGTGCATGGCTCTTGCACTGTCTTTTGTCTTACAGGAAACAGGAAAGTAACTTCTTATTTACGCTCTTATTTTCTTAAAGGGTAGGGGAAAATGAAAAAAAAAATCAAGCAGGCAAGATGTTTCCAAAAAAGGGGAATATTTCTTTGTAGAAATGAAGATGATTTACCTGTGTTTCCTATGCAAACAAAGAGTATCTATGCTGAAAGACTCAACTTAATAACCATGAGAAGGCTGCATGCAATAGAGAAAAGCAGGAAAATAACGTAATGAATTTGTTTTTAAGTGGGAACAAAATTAAGTAATTTTGTAAAATGCAATTACATGTTAAATAAATATTTTCCTATTTCTAAATCTACTTCATTTTTGTGAACTAATTGGCTCTGCAGTTGAGTTTGACCCCATATTTAGAAGTATCCCCATGACACAGCCACACAGCACCTACCCCTGCCCTGCTTCCATAGTCTGAGGAAGTAAACAACAAAGGCTGTCCAGACCAGCAGTGTTTCTTTTCCACATCCTTCCTCTTCCTGCTCTAAGCCCTAGTCTACAAAGGTAAGGGCAGCAGCTGTAAAAGTTCCTGTTAACACTTCAGCTCCCTGCTCCTTCTTCCTACACAGGGCCTCTCTCTCTAGGTGCACAGACTGACAAAATGCCCATATTAGGAGTTGAAGCCTCCCCTTGCTAATATGGTTCTATTCATTTTTCAAGGTTATAGGCCTTCAGTTACAGCTGCAAACACTCAGGACAGATCTCTAAGCCCAGGCTTGACCCCTGTGGGAGGGAGCAGACAGCTAGTTCAAGACAGCAGCCAAACCTAACAGGCATCTAGTTTGCACAGACATCATGAGCAGATCAGAAGCTGCAGGGTGATGCCAAATGCTCTCAAGGTCCCAATTTTAGGAGAAAGGAAAGGAGACTCTGATCGACTATGTCTGAGTACAATCTGCATCCCTAGGACTGATCACAGTTTAGATCAATTCCCAGTAAAAGTTTCCTTTATGTAGAATGTAGTTCTATTTTCTCTAGAGCCAGCAGGCATCTATCCTCTGCTCCCCTCATTACTAAGGTCAACCTCTAGTAAAAAGGCTACCGTGTCTTGTAGGTCACAAAATGATTCCACATGGCTTCTCTTATTTGATTCAATCAGGAAACTTGAAAGGTAGGTAGGATTGGTTTATACCATCATCTCCAATGAACAGAAGGGAACACGGAAGTGAGAACTTAAAAGAGCTTAGTGTAACATATTCAAGGTCAAAGAAAGAGTGCTGGGCCTCATGTTTACTACAATTTTATCCAGGCCACCATGAACCAGAAATGTGAACAGGGAGATAAGACTAAAAACCGTGACACTGTAGCCCTTTACAGAGAAAAACATGTTATCCAAAACAGATGTTCTGTAACAAAAACCTTGTTAAATAATTGGGGAACAGAATTCAGGAAAAAGAATTTAAGATTTTTAAAATATTTTTATAGAGAAATTTTTTTACAAAGATTTTACAATATAGCAAATCATTATGTCATACTGTAGAAAGATGAAGCAAAGGATTAAACTCCAAGGATAAAGAAAGTGCTCATAGCAACATTTTGCAGTCTCCATGAAAGTGCATATAAACGGTTAAGGCAAAGTACCATCTTGGTACAGACATGTTGCAAACTGACTTTTAAAACAATTTTTAAAAATATATACAAACTTTCTTTTCTTCTATTCTTCTCAAAGACATTTGAAAGGGATACTTTTATGAATATTCTTGCTGTAGAACAATGTAGAAATAACTTCTGGGTATAAAACAGTAAAAATAAAAATATTCTACCTGAGAGTGTTAAAAAATAAATCAAATGATTTATGAAACAAAATCTTTACAAGTGTGGGCTTTCTACATGTAACTTGTCAGACTGAAGGCCCCACGTTCTAGACAGAGATCACTAATGATGGTAACATGCGTTAAAGTAGGATTCTTGCCCTTCTGTGTAGCTTCTGGCTTCTAGGTTCTATGACCAAACTATTGACATATTTGAAGTCTGTATGCAGTCATCATGTGATAAATCTACTTTACAGCTTTGCTTCTACCTGCAGCTTACATGATAACCATGCTCTGAAGTGCTACATATGCTTAATACAATATGTTGCCCCTTCTGATAATAAAAATACAAAGGTGCTCTTTAAGTTAAACCATAAACCTTATTAGAGAATTCTAGTTAAGTATTTTCTTTTTCCACATACATGTAAATACCTTAAGATCAATAGGATAATACTGGTTATCAAAATTTAGTCTTCATACTTAAAGAATTTGTTTTTAAAATATAACTGAGATGCAAAAAAATAAATTGGCCAGTCTTGAACAAGAGTGAGTTTTACAGAAAACTGACATATCTGAATTCTGGTACAGATAAGAATCTGCCGAAGGATAACTGAACTCACGTGACTAACCACCCTTTTATGTACGATTGCATCTACTCATGAGAAATAGGGGAATTCAGTGTTATCATTATAGTCTCTGTATTTCAACTGAGTTTTTCTTTTCCAATTTTTTTTCCATGCCTAAACATAGGGAAATTAACCAGCTCATTTCTGCTGACTTAGGTTTCCTAAATCGCTTTTAGTCCTCAAGGCACAGCTGTGGTAAAAGAGAGAAATACCCAGTCAATTATTGGAATTCTGCAGTACAAAATAAGCACATGTGCTCTATACAATTTAGTAACAGGATAGCAACAGTTAACTGTCTCAAACAACAGATGTATTCGCTTGATTTTCTTTCCTAACTTCTTTTGCATCAGGACCGCAAGCAAAGAGCTTGTTTCCCAGAGTATTTTGGGCAAATCGGAAATACATAATGTGGCCCATTGCCACAAAGGAGACTGAAATCAATACGAGCAAGCCAAAAGCTTCAGGATTTGGAGCCAGGATGACCATGATGAAATGCAAAAGATCAAGAAGATAGTTCATGGAGTTCTGTACACCATTTATAATGCCTCTTTCAGATTCCATTACATTTTCTTGCAGCAACTGTGTCACAGTTAAATCAAAGGACCAAAGACCTATAATAAAATATTTTTTAAAAGATTAGATTTTAGGTTATAGGCATACATTTCAAATTACAGATTAAAATCTGTTGACACATGCAAAATACAGATTTTAGCCCAACTGCCTTTAAGTCACCTTATATATATCATAGCCTTGCCTTAGAGAATTATTTTTCATAAAAAATATTTGGTTATTAATGCCTCAATAAATGATTTTTACAGTCATCAGAGAAAAAGAAGTCTAATCTACGAACTTCTTAGTTCTGTTTTTCTGTGACTATTCATACTACAAAAACAAAACTTTGAAATCAGAGACATAATAAATCCTATTATAGTATAAGTACGATTATTTTTAAAGTTTCAAATGACCTAATATATGGTTATGGTTGAAGTATAAGGAAACTTTATTTATTTATTTATTTATTTTTGAGATGGAATCTTGCTGTTTCTCCCAGGCTGAAGTGCCGTAGTGCAATCTCGGCTCACTGCAACCCCTGCCTCCTGGGTTCAAGTGATTCTCCTGTTTTACCTTCCCGAGTAGCTAGGCTTACAGCCACCCTCCATCATGCCCAGCTGATTTTTGTATTTTTGTAGAGATGGGGTTTCACCATGTTGACCAGGCTGGTCTTGAACTCCTGACCTCAGGTCCACCCACCTTGGCCTCCCAAGGGATTACAGGCATCAGCCACCACACCCAGCCAAGTGTAAGGAAACTTTAAACCATTGTTACATTACTGCTAGAGTTCTAAAGCCCATACAATAAAGCTGTCTTGCTTGGAAATTAATATCTCCAATAAATTAATGAACTGCTTTGTATCACAAGATAAATACAATTTCATTTTAAGAGTGAATTCAGTCAGAGATAATTCAGCAGTACTCTATTAATGATTACTTAAATTTTGCTTTGCAAGAAGTCTTTACATTATGTTTCCTTCCAGGGCTGTAAAACCCATTTGTGTGGCAAACTGTGTAAGTACACATCGGCTACAGAAAACCTTTGAAGAATTTTTTTTCCTACTTTCACATCTTCTATTAAAGCCAGAAATATTACCTTTTTAGTGTTGTCCCACGGGAATAGTCACTAAACTACAGTTTCTTTGTTAGGGTTGTTGCAATATCAAGACTCTACTAGGTGGCAGTATAATTGATATAGCTAATATCTTTTATAAATTAAATTACATTTAAAAAATAATTGCTTGAGCTCAGGAATTCAAGACCACCTTTGGCAACATGGCAAACTCCATCTCTACAAAAATACAAAAATTAGCAGGTCATGGTGGTGCATGGCTGTAGTTCCAGCTACTTGGGGGACCGAGGCAGAAGGATTGCTTGAGCCCAGGAGATCAAGGATGCAATAAGCTGTGATTGTGCCACTGCACTCCAGCCTCGGTAACAGAGCAAAATCCTGTCTCAAAAAAAAAAAAAAAAAAAAAAAAAAAGTAACATTTAAGATACTCATTTAGAAAAAATTTTCAAGTCTGAACCATGTTTTAAGTATACGTACATGATAAGGTAACAAGTACAGGTTTTCAAACTATAAAATGTACAACAAAAAATAAATATAAAGTACAAATACAGAAAATAATTTCACAATTAATAGTGTATTTTGCTTAAATTAATATTTGGGGAACATTTCACATGATTA